CTGTTCTATCTACTCAGTTCATTCACTAACCATCGCTTCTAATTAAGCTACCCACAGCTAGCTTTGTCGTTTGAGATTTTCTAACGGATGTCCAACGGATACTAGTCAAGAGAGATATTAAGTTTTTAAATTTTTTAAAAAGTAAAACTAAACTGGGAAAGCATTTTAGAGTATAGGAGGGCATTAATGTGAGTGCATATCTAATCGATTATGCTTAATCTTGTTGTTTTAGTAACTTCTTTATATATAGTTCGGCCACCAAGTATTGGTCTAGGGTTTAGGTTTACTTCTCATCTTTACAGTTGAACAGTCAGTTGACTAGGTTTGTCACGATTTGTCTCCCTATTGAAGATGTCTTCCCTCGGTTACATTCCCCTTCTCCTCTTTTCATCTACATCATTTTTTTTAACCCATCTTAGTTGCAATTAAAGATAGACAATCCACACATCAATGGTATGCATGTCATTACTTATTATAACACTAATTCATCAATGGTAGTGACATTAATGTCACACTTTTCCATAGTTGTTGTATATATACTAGTATAAACTGCAATCAATCCCATGAGTACACGTGAAGTACTTTGAGAACCGTAAATTTGGGTATCTGTGGACTCTCGTCTTTTTGACGAATTCAAACTGCGACAACTGCTAATATTCGTACTCGGTGCCATGTGACTGAATATTAATACATTGTTTAAGAAAATACCACATTGTTTAAGCCTCAACCCAACAATATAAATTGTAATTACACAGCTATACTTTGAACTACAAATCAGTTCACCCTTGAGACTTTGACGTAACCACACATCTATCTACCCAATCAGTATCATTACTTCGTAACTAGATATGGCTTCCAAAGAAGATTTCTCTGAAGAATATTTGCAGCTCAATCCGAAAGAAGTTGGTTTTAGCGACATCCTTAGTATCTTCTCCTCGCGCGAATTAGAGAAAACAGACTTCTTTCATACCCCCGAGATATACGGGGAAGCAAACTCCTTTCCTGCCCCCAAGGTATACAGGAAAGCAGACACCTTTCATGCCCCGGAGGAGTACGACTTCCGTCGCCGATGGATAGTTTTTGTGTCTCTCGTGGCTCAGATACTCCTCCTTCAGTTAAAAAAACCTTTGGCTGTCCTAGGATCTACTTTGGAGCTGTGCCTGAATTATCCATCCAGCAATGGTGGCTTTATCGGCCTTTTATGGAATTTTCTTACGGGTTTGTTTTAATTTCTCTTTTATTTATGTTGCATGTTCCATTAATTCATATCCATTACCTCCCCGGAAAATTATAGGCGTAAATTGATTGCTGCATGCATGCATGCAAAAGCATATTATTATGCAACACAGCGAAACTGGATTAGGCATTAATTTTTGTTGTCAAATCATATTCTATTTGATAAGGATCAATAAAATGTGGAAGGCAACTTTTGATTAGCTAGCTAGAGAAAAAATGATAATAACGGCCATTGAAATCTTATATATGTTTCATGGAGATCGTTGTTTATTTCATGTAACGAGCCAAATAATATGGTAACAGTATGGCCTTGTGTGTGCTTTAATTGCAGGAAAGGTAGTAACGCCAGACAGGTCGGCTGCAACTTTCAGGTCGATCCTTGCGAATCTGGACACGCGAGTGGATTTAGATGGAAGGATCAAAGCTAATGACAAGAGGTATGATGCAGCCTTGTCTATGATGGCTGCTAAATTGGCCTATGAAAATGAAGCATTCTCCAGAACTGTGGTCACAGATCACTGGCAGGTAATTTATACTATATAATTTCAGGACATGCAATGCAAGTTTCATGTTATATTGCTTGGAACAAGTTTCAAGTCTTTTTTTTTCCCATTTTTCCAATTCTACTCTTGCAGATGGAATTCTTGGGCTTCTTCAACTTTTGGAATGGTCAGTGGCTCCGTTCTCCTCTTTATGTGAAATTTTTCTCTTTTCCTTGTCTTGTCAAAAGACAACCATTTCTTGCCACTCATTGTTGCTGGCCATTTTTGACTCTTAGTGCAGTGGTGATAATGCGTATAATTAAGTTGCAAACATGAATGATGGCACTGCTTTAACAAGTCAAAATGCACATTAACAAGTTTCCTGGTTTTTGCCTAAACGCAGCAAACAGGAAAATACCACCGAGACTTTGTTTAGAAATTAGAAGTTCTGATTTACAATTGTCAAGTAAACTACAATTGCCCGATTCATTTTGGATGGATATACAGAAATCTTACTCACTACAAATAAAATTTGTCTTCTCAAATTTTGCAAAATATGTGGAGTCATCCTTTTTTTATTTGTAACTCTCCTTTCTCTTCACATACTCTTTCCATTTCCAAATAAATTTAGAATTCAAATTTTGAGTCTAACAGTGAAAAAAACTCCAAGAGATTTTCTCTGATAGTTACCCTAAACCTATAAGTCTTCTCAAATCTCAATCCTAACCTCACACAATGTTGTAAGTTGTCACCACCAACTCGAATGAACAAAAATGATGGTGACCATCAATTCATTATGATTTAATTTTTTCAACTCTTAGTGAAAGCTATAGCTAATCCGTAACTATCATCTGCCAAAGCCACTAATTCATGATTTATCTTTGCCTAAAATTCAACCGGAAATGGCATTTGCCTAATTCATGATAGCTATCCGTTTACCACAAATAATGGAAAATTAAAATATATACATATATAATTATATAAAGAGGAAAAAACTACGGAGATGGTTAGAAGGTTGCATCTCAAACATTAAGAAATTCTAAAAGAAGTTGTGGAAAGCGAAGCATCATATGCAGCTTAGCCGCTTCTGTCGCACAAATATATATATATATATATATATATATATATAGTTTAATATGAGAAAATGGAAAAGCTGACTAATGAAGGAAACAAATGAGTTTAGACAAGTTGGACTTTAATTTCTCTACTTAGTCTTTAGTTCCCTGAACTTGGATTTTTTAGTGAAAGTTCCAAAGTTTTTCCTGGTTTTAAGCTGATGCATGCATATACGTTTTCATGGAAAGCCAAAAAATTCAGGACAATTTTGTAAGTCAAGAGTTGAGAAATTACTGAAAGTAAACGAATAACTCTAATTCATGCATGTTTGTTATACCTAAAATTCTCTTTAGCAAAGTAATGCAATTCCGAAGTTTAATTTACAATTTACAACTTGTCTGCCCAATACCATTCAGATTATGAGGAATCATACACAACACAAGCCATCATTTTCGAAGACAAGAGAACCAGTGCTGATTCTAACCTGATTGAGGTGGCATTTCGAGGGACAGAGCCGTTTAATGCTGATGATTGGCGTACGGATTTTGATATTTCGTGGTATGATATCAAAGGTGTGGGCAAGATTCATGCTGGATTTATGAAAGCCTTAGGCTTACAAAAACGAAAGGGTTGGCCTAAGACAATTGAGCAAGGCTCAGATGGAAAAAACTATGCCTATTACACAATAAGGGAAATTTTGAGAAATAGATTGAAGGAAAATCAGAATGCAAAATTCATGGTAACTGGACACAGCTTAGGAGGGGCATTGGCAATTTTGTTTCCTGCCATACTGATTTTACATGAAGAAAATGAGCTATTGGAAAGAATGGAAGGAGTGTACACTTTTGGGCAGCCTAGAGTTGGAGATGAGCAATTTGGGGAGTTTATGAAGGATAAGCTTAGATTTTACGATGTAAAATATTGCAGATATGTCTACAAGAATGATATGGTTCCAAGAGTACCGTTTGATGACAAAACCCTCATGTTCAAGCACTTTGGCCCTTGTTTATACTTCAACAGCTGCTACCGAGGGCAGGTGAAAATCTTAATTCTTTTCTTTATCTATTCTCAAGTTTTTTCCCTTGTATCATTTTATGGGAGTGTTCTCATAAATTCTTTTTCCCTTGTTTTGGAACTAAAACCGAAACAGATTCTAGAGGAAGAACCAAACAAGAACTACTTCTCACTGCTGTCGGTTATGCCCAAGATTTTGAATGCCGTTTACGAGCTGATTAGGAGCTTCATTATCCCTTTCACGAGAGGAATGGAGTATAGAGAAGGGTTGTTTCAGACCATGTCTAGGATGGCTGCATTGGTCGTTCCTGGATTATCAGCTCATGGTCCTCAGGACTATGTTAACGTCACCAGATTGGGGACCTTGCCCTCCTCGCACCCTCCGTTGAAAGGCCTGAAACCAGAGTGACATATGTGTTGGCAAACTAAATCAAGCCTACAAGTATTTATTTAGTTATTTATTAGTTTTATTGGAGTTAGGTTTTAGTAGTTGTGTGATTTAAGAATTTGTGTTTTATTTTGTAATTTCTAATGTAAGTGGTTTTTTTCCTAATAAGTGTGGTAGATTATGAATAAGACATTATTTAGGATGTTTTTTAGAAAGAGTCTAAAATAATTTGTTAGATTTTCTATTGTGATGTAACTTTCTTCATTTGAGATTTCAATAATATTGTGAGTTGATTATTTTCTCCAAAAATTTTGGTTTGTACAATACGTACCCAAAATGATATAGAAGAATCATACACCAAAACCAAAGATTCCTACTTTTATGACAAAGCCATAATGATAAAAATAGGAATCACTTTTGGCTTCCTTAACTTTGCAATAAAGTAGTCATAAAATAAGATTCCTATTTTGAGGATCATTAGATTTTTTTTTTCCCATTTATTTTAGAGGAATGCTTGAAGCAGTCGAGCAATGCTGCTCTTCTCATCAAGCATACGTTTTCGTATTTCTACCTTTCTATAGAAAACTTGTTTCGACAAAGAGCACTTTTTCATGATTTAACCTACATACAATTATGATTTAGGCCTAAATTCAAACAAGGATTGAAGAATGTAATGTTACAATATAGAACACACGACTATATTTCTCATTCAGCTACGCAGATTAAATTCACAAATTCCATCAGCAAATGAAACCTGTGGTTACAGAACAAGAACCCCCTTTTTTTTCATACGCGTTGAACTTCTCTCTTGCTTCTCTTCTTTAATGCCTTCTTCATTTAATAAACAATTGATTAACAGAGACCTTGGTACAGATGTCCAAACGGGCACCCAAGAAACCCCCTTTTTCAGCACAGCCAAATCCAATGCTTCCCTATTCTCATCATCATCAATGTTTGATGATGATAACATTAAGGCCTATGATGTCCCGGATGGGGTGCCTGATGGCTATGTTTTCGCTGGCAGGCCATTGGAGGATATTGATCTTTTCTTCAAAGTGGCACCGGAGAATTTTAGGAGAGCTGCGGAGGCAGCTGAACGGGACACTGGAAGGAGGGTCAGCTGCGTGGTAGCGGATGCTTTTCTCTGGTTTTCCTTTGAGATCGCGGAGGCAAGGGGGGTTTCTTGGGTGCCCGTTTGGACATCTGAACCAAGGTCTCTGTCCATTCATTTCTACACTGGATATCATTGTATTTCGCAGTTTGATTCCAACAATTGAACATGTTAATTAACAGATCGAACTACTTGATACTAAACATTTTTATGTTCTAGCAACAAATATGGCAAGTGATGTGATTTTAACAAATGTTATCCCACTACATCTCAATATCCAAATCATAATAAAATTCAACATGTGATGAACCTAAGCATTTACCTCTGGGGTGAGACTCTTTATCGTTCAGCAAAGAAACAGCTGTGCAACTAACTAAAATGCATGACGGGTAAAGCAGCCACTGAAGGAACCTGTATGGCGAGGCCGAGGAAAAGATATGGCCTCATGGGAGGTTCTTGCAACTTGATGTGACTGGTGTGATAGGACTGAGCTTCTCATTTCTTGGGCCTTCTTTTGTGCTGATCGATCCGAGCTTGTTCACTATCTTGTCCATCGATGAAGATCTCTTCTTTTCCAGTTTCATCTGAACAAACCATAAGATCATCTCAATCAGGCATTCAGAGAATAAATATCTGGTAGCATATTAGATTAATTTTCCAAATTCCGATTGGTTGTTCATTTCCATTCAGACGGTCAAAAAATATGGGTGCGCATGTACGTAATCATTGAGTTGATTACAGGGCAAAACATGAAATGCTTGCTGTGAGTCTGTGATGTTGAGGAATGACTTGAAGCACTCTATATATCTTATGTAACTAGAGAAAACCTCAAGTTTCCGCGTCGCCGCCTCAGCTTTTGCTTTCCGCAAGTCCTCCCAAGCAATTACTGCAATTACTTTGGCTGGGGAATTAACACCCTCCCAATGTCAAATAACCGGCACATGCTCCTAAGACCGGCTACCTGTAGGTCCCGTCTGAAACTGACCCGGTTTTCTCATTCGCGTACACCCCTACTGTTCCAGAATGTATCATCTCACTCTTTTCTTTTGCCAGTTATTTTATACCAACCAGTTCTAGAACTTTGTTAGAGGTTGATGATGATGTTCTGGTTAATATTTACGATCCTTTTATCAAATGCTAACTTGTTTGGATCTGTGCACTGAAATGCAGATGACAATCATTCAAGGGACGATGACCTGTACTACAAATTGGAACGATTTGGTAGTAAAACATGTCGTAGGTTTTTTTTTTTTAATGGGTTTTAACTTTTTTAATGATTATTAAAAATTTTAAAATGTAAATGTTTAAACAAATGAGAATAACACAATCGATTATCAATAATCAGAATCTAAAATTACACTGAGTAATCAAATCAAGTACAACCCTATAATGTGATTGCTAAGGCCGTACGTGCAAGTATTTGATGGTTAAAAGAAATTAAGACATAAATATAAAAACTAACGAGAAAATAAAAAATTGATTATATAAACTAATTAATAAAGAGTAACAATTGACTTTAAAGAATAGACATGTTTGTGTCTTAAGGATCATGCTTCACTAAAAAAAAAAAAAAAAAAAAAAATGCTTCAGTAAAAGCCATTTATTCCTCGGCATCCAATCCAATCAAATCTAGGAACATTGAACTATAACATCAAGAGTTGAAATGAACAAAACATACAAAATTTAGTGGCGTTCAAACCATATTGGAAGACCCCATGTGGATGTGGGACGTACGTCCATTAAGGTCCTAACATTCGTTCTTTTTTTTTTTTCCTTAAAAAAAAAAAAAAACATTCGTTCTTTTTATTCAAGGGTTCTTTTGCAACTGTCCTGTGGAAATAGGGCATGGACCTCCCCTTCCCAGGTGCATCGTATTCGATAGTCATAACAATCTAATATATTTTCCTTTTATCCACAATACGGCTAAAGGAATATATATATATATATATATATATATATATATATATATATATGCAGAATTATATCTCCTTTCGTCTCTTTTCGTGTATATGTAAAGAATTTGAACATACGAGTCAATGAAGTTGTTGGAGCCAGATCACGTGTTAGAAAATCCAAAGATTAAAAGAAAAAATTGCGAATGACATCAATAAAAGATATTTGCAAAGATATGTTTCCTGATAAATAAATATGGCCACGTATTTACTCTCTGCGCAAATGCATGTGTACTTGTAGAGACGATCAATTAGCCAATTATTATTTCTGATAAGGTGGTTGGTTGGAGTGGATTTTGGTGGCCCATTTGCAAATTACAGAAAAAAAGACAACAAAAAATCCATTGGCCAAAATCCTAAATTCCCTCTTATTTTGTTAGTTCGTCACCGATTTTGTCTACCTTATGTTTTTAGCGATGAGGATCTTCTTCTTCTTCTTCTTCTATACAAGTTCCGTGATTGATTCTCGTATGCTATCTCGCTGTGTATTCTTGGGACAAGACTCTACATAATTTTAAAGAATTAGTCAGGTAGAAAGATTGTAAAGTACGTGCAACTTTGATGCGGTCACAATAAAAACCCTTACCATGCAAGTATGCAACACTTGAGTCCTCCAAACCCAGGATGGCAAATTTGTCAGTGATGGCAAATTGGCTAATTGTCCTTTAATCAGGTATTCAGGATGAACTTTAGATTGCAGCTTAGATTCTACTAACTTGAACCTCTGTTAAGTTTTACTAACACATTTGGCCATCTTTTCTTATTTCATATTTGTAAACATGGAAAGATATTGGTGTACTATTGACCAGAGGATTTTTTTTAGGCATTGATCATGAATAGAGGAAGTTATTCTAACTTATCGTTGAAAGTATGCTTGTTTTCACATATATCATATGGGTTCCCTTATTTAGTGTTTTACGAGCACACAATAAGAAAATGAGTTCGGTTTGCTTTTTTTTTTTTTGGGGAGAAAGAGTAAACTTTTACCACGAAGTTGCAGATTATGTAATATATCTATTTGATTTCGCCAATGAAATCAAATAGATATATACACGAATTTATTAAAAAAAAAAAACTAATCATACACATGATCAATGATGGATGAAAAAATTTATTTTGAAAAATATAAAGGATGAAAATTTTTATTTTGTAAAATATGAGAAATCATGAATTGAATTATGTAAATGTTGCCCTTAAAAAATCATCACGTGCATGTGGTGGATTTGAATTTACTGTGCTTATGTGGTGGTGTTGGCTTAGTGAATATTGGGCAAAGGCCCAAAGGGGAAAATGTTAGGGATCCAACCTAAGAGTTAAAGTTTGCTGTCCATCTAGTGCACTTGGTGGATTTGAATTTGCTGCGTTTACGTGGTGGTGTTGGTTTAGTGAATATTGGGCAAAGGCCCAAAAGTGAAAATGTCAGGGATACGACCTAAGAGTTAATGTATGCTGTCCCTCTAAATAGGAAAGGCCTCTTTGCTGGTTTTAAATACTTACCAGACTAATGACTGATGGACTTATTTGAGCGAAAGCCCTCAAAGTGCAATTGACACGGCTGGTTCGTTACCTTTTGGGCCACAACAGCAGGCAGCAATGAAGCACAATATATATATATATAATAAATAAGAAGAATGAAGAGTAAAGTTCAACTTAACCACCGAGATTGCCTCATTAGCTAGGGGAAGGCTCTCATTGAAGGTCTAGAGTTCAAATTTTAGACCTGACAGTAGGAGATGAAAATGGTGTAACGAGATTTTTCCACACTAAAAGTTTTGGTTTAGTAATGGTTTAGAAAACAAAGTACTATAAAGGTGAGTTAAAAGAGCTTTGCACTTTTCACATGCAGTGTTTACTCTTTAATACCAACGTATTATTTTCTCACTTTTTACAGGTGAATGAGGCCGTAGAGATGAAGGTTGTGTTTTCTTTTTTCCTTTTCCATTCGCCTTGTAGTTATTTAGGCAATCAACAGCCAAGTTTGAATTGGAGTTAATATTGATTGAAGGTAAATTAGGAACTTTAAGCCTCTCCCACTTTTCTCTCTTAATTATTTTAGGGACACGTGATCTTAGCCCTTTATCAACACAATAAAGAAGAGAAAATGTGAGTTAAAACCCGAGCTTGTTTCTCATTTCTGATAAAAAAGAATATGTAAGAGCAAGGATTGAGTGGCACTGTCCCTTGAGTTGGTCGAGATGGTAGAGTTGATGTCATACCTTTCTACCAATTCGGGTTCGAACATCTCTTGAAATATCTGCCCGTTGCACAAGATTTGTCTAGTGCATCTTACCCCTCCATGTGGTTGGCGGGCTATTGCATGGGGCAGGATTTATTCAGTGCACACTCTCGGGTAGCGATTAGTGCGTCTTACCCCTCCATGTGGTTGGCAAGCTATTGCATAGGATGGGTTTACTCAGTGTACACTCTCGGATAATGGTTGCGGGTATCCTTGTCAAAAAAAAAAAAAAAAAAAGGATTGAGTGGCACAAAATCTTTTCCAGTTTTTTTTTTTGTCAATCATCACTTATCTACCCTATACCTACTGAACCACCATCGAACACCCATATGGATTTAAGTTAATTAAAGTGGTAAGTCACATATAGTAGCAAGTGGTGGGAGATAAGGTTTGAATCCTTAATCTCGCATCCTACCAAACCTTAAACGCTATGGTGGTGGTCAACAATCCAAACGCTATTGGTTAAATACTTAAATCTTTTCTAGTCTTAGGTGAAAGAAAATGTGCCACTGTAAAAGCGTGATAATTATGGTGATAAATATTGTTGACTGGCACAATTAAAATGGCTAATGCACACATTCATAGTCTAAACTTGGATTTTGTTCGTGGAAATTACGTTAAGGAAATTGGTAAGAAACCCGCGTTGCAGACAACAGGACCTTGGCAACCTAAGCACTAAAAACGTTGAAAGCAATCGGATTCGGAAAAATCAAAGTCAATGCATAGTCACGACCTTGGCCACCTAACCACTATAAAAGCATGATAATTATGGTGATAATTTTTTTATGCCATACTTTGAAGGATTCCTTGAGATATCGTCCATTATAGAATATAGATGACGCGGAAAAGCTTATTAGGATTAAATCCATTTGATTTGACAGAAAGAGAGGCTCTAGTTTTCTATTATGTTTATGTATTATGATAACACGACAAAGGACTTACTTTCATTTGTTTCCTCACTTATAATAACACCAAACT